TACTTCACAAATGTGTTCTTCTCTCAACCTTGGTCAGAGAAGCTCCCTTTTGCAGAGGGTTCAGGCCTGACCAAATGCTGACAATGCTCACAATGACTGTAAATGCTCAGCTCTGCATCACTTCCTCTCTGAGGCTCTGGGAGCATCATGGAGGAAGAGACAGAAAGAGGATAAAAGCCAGAGGAAGGGGAGCAGTGCTGTGAAATGCTGTCTGTGGACAGGAATGACTGTTGCACACATGAACCTACAGCAGATGTGGTTCCCTGGGAAGATCTGCACAAAATCAGGGCGTCTGAAATCCCAGTTTGTGTGTGTGTGTGTGTGTGTGTGTGTGTGTGTGTGTGTGTGTGTGTGTGTGTGTGTGTGTGTGTGTGTGTGTGTGTGTGTGTGTGTGTGTGTGTGTGTGTGTGTGTGTGTGTGTGTGTGTGTGTGTGTGTGTGTGTGTGTGTGTACAAGTGCATGTGTGATACTAAAATCAGGGTGTCTGAAATCCCAGTGTGTGTGTGGGGGGGGGGGGTGTGTGTCTTGTGAGGGTGTGTGTGTGTGTGTCTGTGTGAGGGTGTGTGTGTGAGCCTAAGTCCATGTATGTGAGTTACTGGCAGTTGATGGCTACAGGAGAAGGCGGAAGCCACTTTTCTTTATAAGTATGGCCACTGCAAGGTTGTCCATGTCCTATGGATTACACCATGCCCATGAACACGTGTGCAGCACTAATCCAGTAAGTTAAAAATAAAATTATAAAATGAGAACATGAAGTTAGGAGGGAGACATGATGAAGGCTTCAGGGGTGGGGTTGGAGTAGAACTGTGCAATTGAGGCCAGGAAACAGCATCAAGATACTTTGCATACGGGCTGGAGAGATGGCTCAAAGGTTAAGAGCACTGACTGCTCTTCCAGAGGTCCTGAGTTCAATTCCCAGCAACCACATGGTGGCTCACAACCATCCGTTATGAGATCTGGTGCCCTCTTCTGGTGTGCAGATAGACATGGAAGCAGAATGTTGTATACATAATAAATAAATAAATCTAAAAATAAAAGATACTTTGTATACATGTGTGAAATTTTCAAAGAATACACTGGAGAAAAAATTAATAACTAGAACAATTTTCCTATCTTATTAAAATAAAACTTTAAATAATATTTCCTGAAATTAAAATGATTATTAATTTAAAACTTTTTATCTGTACATCTATGTACTATATATATATACATATATATATATATGTGTGTGTAACAATAATCAAAGAGAAAGATTATAAGTTTGAAATTGGGGAGGGAGGACATGGAAGGAGCCGGAGGGAGGAAATAGAAGGGGAAGTTGTAATTATATTATAATTTAAAAATGTACTAAAATGAATAACTAAATTATAGCAAATGAAACTTTACATATGCATAGTCTTTGTCAGACTCAGAAAGCCTACTTCTTTTTCTGCTTTTCAAATACCCTGTAAATTACAAACACATTTTAAGTCAAATGCTTTGTTTGTACCTCCTAAAATAACTATATGGGTTTTTTTTTAATGTAATGGGCCACATGTACAGATATTTTATTTAAAAATATCTTTTTATGAGATATGTCTTACTTAACCACAGTACACTTTTAAACACATTGGTGTACTCAGCTAACCCATGTTAGTGTGACAAAACAAACTGGGCCATGTAAGCCTATAACATACAGAATATTTTCCTTAAAACTTCAAATTCCTTAAGATTACTAAGTTGTATTTTCCTTAAGCTATTTTAGACATTACATATATTTTTCAAAAAGTTCACTTAGGTGTTAGAGCTTTGATAATTTAAATCTAAACTTCAGTCAGGGGTGGTAGTTCAAGCCTTTAATCCCAGAACTTGGTAATCTAAAGCACGTGGATCTCTGTGAGTTCAAGGCCAGCCTGGTCTACACAATGACTTCCAGGCCATAAAACACTGTACATATCAAGTCCTTGTCTCAAAAATACAAAACAAAGCCAAAAAAGAAACTTTAAATCTGTTTTTAAATATATTTCCCCTCTCTTTAACTGGATGGGAGCCCTTACTCATGAGGAGGAAGTAGATTGGAGGTGGGCTTGGGTGAGGAGGGGCAGGCAGAGGGCTGGAAAGGAGAACTGTGGTTGGAATATAAAATAATACTTAAGAGAAGAGATTAAAATTTTTAAAAATAAAAAAATAAATTATTTAAGAAGACAATTTTAGACTCACAGAAAAAGTTCTAGAGGCCAGTTGAGATATAGCTATTTGGTTGAAAGTACTGGCTGCTCTTCCCAGAGAACCTGAGTTCAATTCCCAGCACTACTTCATAACTACCTGTAACTCCAGCCCCAGGGATAACCACACCTCTGACCTTCAGGACACTTGCACTGATATGCACATAGAGACATACACACACGTGCACATAACTAAAAATAATTGTAAATTAAGTAAGCAAAAAGAAAAGTCTTTACATATTTAACACCAATAGCTTGACAAGATTG